TTGGGGCGTAACTAACTTTGCGTCCACGATTATTGTGTTTATAGGCCGATGATCATGTGATGAACAATGAACCAATCGTAAGGTGAGACAGTGGTTACTGGATTCAGAAGAAACTTCAATATCGCAGCAGGCATTGACAAGTTGTCTCCCTTGGAATTTGCTTACTATTTTCAGTGACAGTAGTAGAAGCATTCGTAAAAGTCTCTTTTCAGAAACAAACCATTACCACAAATACTGCTGCCATTACTACTGCTACTGCTGTTACTACTACTACTACTACTACTACTGCTACTACTACTACTACTACTACTACTACTACTACTACTACTACTACTACTACTTCTACTACTGCTACTACTACTACTTCTACTACTGCTATTACTGCGGAAGCTATGCATTGCGTGCCCTGGGTATCAGTACATAATTTCAGAATGAAGTTTACTATTGTATGTTTTTATTACAATCTCGCGTTGTCAGGGATGTTCACCGTATTCCTGAAATGTTGTTTGTATTCAGCATTTTTAATTGTATTTCATTGTGGCTGTAGTTAGACTATTATCTGATAACACGGTGTTTTTATAATAGCTCAGCCTTTTGCTTTTCCGGCTGAGATTACGACAGTATACACTCGGTAATCTTTATCTCATATGCCGAAATCGAAACTGTGCATTTAAGTTTTGTAAGACTTTTGTCAAAGTCAGCAAGTATACCAACAATAGCATGGTTCTTGAAGAGTGTGGCAGACTCTCATAACAAAATCACTATACCTCTAGATCAGTAAAGTACTGGTGCAGACTGATGCAGCGTCAACGCCATAGACTTCCTTATCAAGCCTAACAAATGCTCAAATCTCTTAATGATAATAATAACTCTACCTGGGCTTCACATATACCATTTCAGTATGGTTTTGGATTTATATGGATCTCGCAAGAAACTGGCTGCATTAAAACATTTATATATATCTTCTAGCAGCCACTGCTTCCTGCAATATTATTCACAATTTAAATGTTCACTTAATGTTGAACACTACTTGTCCTGTCACCTCCTGCCATATCAACGGGAGTTATAACCATGTTCCGCTGTAACAACTTTAGACGAGCAGTGGAAACCGGCCGCCAAACAAATACACCCTATGATCAACGTCTCTGCCTCTACTGCCACTATATTGGCCTAAACTATATGTTGCAGACGAGCTTCATGTCCTACTTATCAGTGGTAAATATCTTGAAATAAGAAGTAAGTGCTTCACAACCCACCAGACCCATCCTCCAACAATTGAAACCTTTGTGCGTTTAATTAGCTGTAACAACATACATAATCTAAAAACATTAAGTACATTCCTCTCTGCTGTATTAACACTAAGAAGTAAACCCACCGCTACAACTGACCTTGTATTTCAATCGCTATCCTACATCCAACATGTATGTATTATTTATATTTGCATTTTGTTTGTATTGGGGCCAGTGTTCTACTTTACTGAAATAAAATGTATCTCTGTCTGTCTGTTTTACAGTTTCCTGCAACATGAAAATATGCTTTCAAGTTCGAGCACTATAAATACATGCATCATTAATGCGTGTTTGCCTCCCACAGCATTAATTTATGCTTTCAAGCTTCCGGCATCGTTACTTGAGAACATCATCTATATTCAGATTCACATACTATTCCCATAAGGGCAGACGGTCTCATTGTAATGAATTGTTATCATTGTCCATTCGGATAGTTCAGGTGAAGCGTCCTCACGGCCCGTTGTTCGGAATGCTGCAATACCAAGCTGTTCATTGGTCATGACGTCACAGACGGGTAACATTACATCATCAGAGCACTATGTTTACTTATCTGAACTTCCTTCTTTCATTTTCCTTCTTACAACGGTGGGTGATGTATCGAGCCTACCTACCTAAATCTCAGAATATGGATTAATCTTTCTCTCGTGAATGAATGCAGTAAGATCCCAACTCAGACTGGGGAATTACATATTGCAAACACCCGAGATAATCCGCTAAGCTTCACATACATACATTACATTATTCATTTGTAAAACGTTTACAAACAGTGCATGAGAAAGATTGATGCGTATTTTGTGGAGTTGGTGGTGTTTTAATATTTAGGTAGTCGTGATCTTTGCCTAGCATTTGGCATAACTAGCGGCGGGGCTACACACATTCGATCGTGGAACCTGAAGTTCGCTTATGCCTGAATGCGTAAGTTTGTGAAAACTGGTGCAAAGAAATGGATGTTCATCAAATTGTCCTCAGAGCAGCCCATTGTTTGATAAGTCAAGATATAAACAACATTTTGTGACAAATCAACTGTTGTCCACATGCTTGCGTATTGTCGCCACTTTGTTAGGTAAACGCTGGGTCACCAGAATAATTCGTATTATTTAATGTAACTTTTATAAAGGCTACAAAAGATAAGCTGTATATGAGTTCCATGGCTTAAAAGAGGAAGAAGGAGAACTCACGACACCCAAGAAAACCCAGGTTAGAATTGGTCTTCAGTAACCCATGCTTGTCGTAAGAGGCGACTAACGGGATCGGGTTGTCAGGCTCGCTGATTTGGTTGGCACATGTCATCGGTTCCCAATTGCGCAGATCGATGCTCATGCTGTTGATCCCTGGATGGTCTGATCGAGACTCGACTATTTACAGACCGCCGTCATATAGCTGGAATAGTGGTGAGTGCGGCGTAAACCCTAAACTCACTCACTCATTAGACTCTGAAACCTTAACATTTGACACACAAAATACAACTGGTTTCCGCAATACGAAAACCTGATGGAAAGTGGACTGAAACTAAAGTTTCCACCTAGAATCCAAGGAGTTTCCGTTCTTTTACACTGAGTTTCCGCAGTAACAGAAACTTACAATTTCTACCAAACTCCATGAAGACTCTGAAACCTTAACATTTTGACACAGCAAAAATAACTTGGTTTCCGCAATACGGAAACCTGATGGAAAGTGGACTGAAACTAAAGTTTCCACCTAGAATACAAGGAGTTTCCGTTCTTTTACACTGAGTTTTCGCAGTAACAGAAACTTACAATTTCTACCAAACTCCATGAAGACTCTGAAACCTTAACATTTTGACACAGCAAAAATAACTTGGTTTCCGCAATACGGAAACCTGATGGAAAGTGGACTGAAACTAAAGTTTCCACCTAGAATACAAGGAGTTTCCGTTCTTTTACACTGAGTTTCCGCAGTAACAGAAACTTACAATTTCTACCAAACTCCATGAAGACTCTGAAACCTTAACATTTTGACACAGCAAAAATAACTTGGTTTCCGCAATACGGAAACCTGATGGAAAGTGGACTGAAACTAAAGTTTCCACCTAGAATACAAGGAGTTTCCGTTCTTTTACACTGAGTTTCCGCAGTAACAGAAACTTACAATTTCTACCAAACTCCATGAAGACTCTGAAACCTTAACATTTTGACACAGCAAAAATAACTTGGTTTCCGCAATACGGAAACCTGATGGAAAGTGGACTGAAACTAAAGTTTCCACCTAGAATCCAAGGAGTTTCCGTTCTTTTACACTGAGTTTCCGCAGTAACAGAAACTTACAATTTCTACCAAACTCCATGAAGACTCTGAAACCTTAACATTTTGACACAGCAAAAATAACTTGGTTTCCGCAATACGGAAACCTGATGGAAAGTGGACTGAAACTAAAGTTTCCACCTAGAATACAAGGAGTTTCCGTTCTTTTACACTGAGTTTCCGCAGTAACAGAAACTTACAATTTCTATCAAACTCCATGGAGACTCTGAAACCTAACATTTTGACACAGCAAAAATAACTTGGTTTCCGCAATACGGAAACCTGATGGAAAGGGACTGAAACTAAAGTTTCCACCTAGAATCCAAGGAGTTTCCGTTCTTTTACACTGAGTTTCCGCAGTAACAGAAACTTTCAATTTCTACCAAACTCCATGAAGTTTTTCAAGAGTAGATTTTATCAGTTCTAACTGATGGAAGCCTTTGTAACGAGATGTAGGTCGAGAGGGACTTCTTCGATTTTTAATTTGACACCTTTCCACTCCACGCCAAGAAGTTGTTTTTTAGTGTTTTATGAAAGTTGCCTGAATGACGGGCGTTATCGGAAGAGCAGGTCGTGTTTATTTTATCTGTCGTCATTATGTTGCTGTCATTGATTTTCAGTGCACACGGTCATCGTAGTTTTTATCACTGAATTTCAGTGACAATATTGATCATGTTGTATATCACTGAATTTCAGTGTACTTAGTCATATCGTTCTTACTAATTGTTTACAAATTTATTATAATCATCATTATGTTATCACCGAATTTAAGTGATCCATGCATGAGATTGGGGTCATTAAAACATATTCGGTATATATTCAGCATTGATGTTCTGAACTGTGAGTGAGTGAATGAGTTTAGTTTTACGCCGCACTCAGCAATATTCCAGCTATATGGCGGCGGTCTGTAAATAATCGAGTCTGGACCAGACAATCCAGTGATCAACAGCATGAGCATCGATCTGCGCAATTGGGAACCGATGACATTTGTCAATCAAGTCAGCGAAACTGACCACCCGATCCCGTTAGTCGCCTCTTACGATAAGATAGTCGCCTTGTTATGGCAAGCACATGGGTTGCTGAAGACCTATTCTACCCCGGATCTTCACGGGTCTTCTGAGCTGTGAATGGTGCTCCATGAACAACGGGACCTTGTCAGTGTAAACAATATTATAGTTCACGTCTATGGATCTTATGCCTTAAATGGGGGTCCTCACACCACATCCAGAATATCTCAGTAGTTCGCAATAATTCTCATTTTTCATTTACCTGAAAACAAATATATTTTGACGACGTACATTTAAGGTTTGGATCTCAATGGAGGTATAAACGAAACAGGTGTATATCGTGTAATTATGTGACGCACAGCTCGGGACATGGCGTTTGCACGTTTCATAAACACACACGCCAACACCGATACCTTCATTGATGTATATAAAGGTTTACTCACTGTTAAACTCCACCCCGACCTCCTCCTTCAGCAGGCTCTCAGTGTCATGTATCCCTGGTAGGAAGATGTGGAAATCGTAATCCAGTTTACTCTCTTTGCTGTAGAAAACCAGCGCTGACGCCGCCAAGAAACAGAAACGAGGCGTAACGTCTTTGTGACCTTCACCTTCATAGATAACCTTTATCCGAGTCCACTTATAATGACGTGTGATCTTAATCAGTGACACTGCCAGGGAGTTGAAGGTCACTCCCACTCGTGTCAAGGTCGAATATTCAGCATCCGGACTGTGTTTGTCTGCACCAAAATCATGCGCAAACCCTCCTGGGGACACGACGGGGATATTCCAATATGGCGCATACCGCGCAACGGGAGCGAGGCTGTAATCACAAATCGGTCCCAGGAAGATATCTACCTTTTTATTGCGATAAAAGTCAAAGGCCTTCAGAGGAGCTTCTTTGGAATTACACTTTGAATCTCCGTACTGCACAGTGATGTTGACACGTGGTAGTAGGGACCGTTTGGTCACGTGGGTTATAACAACGTCGAGGACAGGTGCGATGTGGTGAGACGAAAACAGGCGTTGCGTGTCATCAGGAACAATCACAGCCAGCTGGACGTATGTTGTGGGAGACGGAGCCCATGTTATACTGAAGTAACATAACCACAAGCAGAAAACTGTGTGTAGCATTTTAACATCAGTCGATGAATACACAACCTTGCAGTACACCGAACTCTGGAATGAGCTGAGGGTCAAGAGCGCACAAGGGAAACGAGGTACCCTGGTATGTGGGGGATTGTCTGTTGTTTACCAAGACATTCACATACACACGAGCTTTAAGTAGTATCTCTGTACAACACTTTGTTCACCGCACAAACAGCGCTGTTCTCAAAGACACTTACACCGTGTCGAAATATGCGTAATCCAAGTGGTTTCGCCCTCAGTGAAAACCAGGAAATATACAACATTGATAATTTTGCAGCCATTCCACCCAAAAGGGGAAGCACACGGGTTCATAGCCTTAAATTGCGTTTATAATACAAATATGAGTTGGAAAATCACAATCGTATAATCACGATCCACTTCGAATTGTGTTTACGGTGCCTACAACTAGCATTCTGATGAAATTTCACTTCACTCTTCATCGTCGTTACCAAACGTCAAAGATCACATGTTATTTTCAGGCAGGATTATGATTTCACAAAACAGTTGCTTCAGCGACCTTACCAGCTGCAACCCGCATGGCAGAGTCGTCGACGGCGTGTCAACGTCTGTTACAATTCACAGATTAACGATGTGAGTTAAATCAAAGCTCGAGCTGCGTTAATATAGCACCGGTTCAGATACAGGTGTACTATTAATCTCCCATAGTGCGTTAATCGTCCCGCGTTGAATGCCTGGCTGCGTTGTTTGACACTTCCTTTCCTCGCTTCACGTTGTGTGTTACGATTACCATTTATTATCATTATTATTTTTCAGCGCCGGAAGTTCATAAAGTGACGGTGCCGTTCACTTGACCCGGTCTATTCTTCACAGTTCGTCATCACTAATTGCCAGATATCAGGATCATGTGGCTCCAGAAGCAGGATTCCAGCACGGGTAGACACGCCCAACAGGGGTATGTCACCGATCGCTACGACCGAATGACGTCAGTGGGATCGATTAACCTATCAATTAACCTTCTCGTGATTTACATGCACACATATGTCTGAAGGCACCCCGAACACAGAATGACACGGAAACGTACCTCTTCCAAACACAGCCGTCGAGGACCGACAGGTCAGTAAATGATATTGCGAATGTTTCTTATGCCCTAGTGGAGGGCCACGTGGCCCCCGGTGACCTGGGGTAAGGTGCTTATTTTACCTGTACGTCATTTAAACAGGATTAACCCTAACACCCTTTTGCTTGAGGCTTCGATCTGTGTAATGGCAAGAGCCCGGATACACCTTTCACAGTGACGAAAGCTGTTTATTGTGCAGCAATAGAGTGGGCAATATAATGTCAAATCTTGTAGCAATCTCTGTCAGCTGAAGTATGTTATTTTACAACAGACGCATTAAGTTGTAACAGCCCTTAGGTGACAGATCCGCGGTGATTATAGAGAACAACTATGAAATTAAACTGTGCCACTGCGGTAAGGGACAGAGAGTTTGATAAATGGACTAAAAAGCAAGAGAATGGTGTCCGATCCTAAAAGCGGAATGACTCGAATTCTTGTCAGTTTTCCGAATTGATTGTAGCGTATCCACTTATCTAGCTTGACAACTGCGTCTTTTCGAAATCAGTGTATGCTCCATTCTAATAAATATACCTTATTTGTTTTGGCATCGGTCTGTTGATATCTGTTAATGAAAACTTCTCTCACTCCAGGTCTCCAAGTCTTCTTGCGTAAAATGTTTCACTGTTATATTCACACTTTATGTCACTAGTTACATCTCTGCCTCAGTTGAAAGGTGTATCTATTTCAGGAACCTCCTGTATTTCGAACACGTTCTGTGTTAAAAGTTTGATTCAGTATAATACGAGTCCTTGCAAATCGAAGCAATCAAGAGAACAAAGTTTCCTGTGGATGACGCTAGCTCTGTTGAAAGACGCACGAGTCTGCGCAAAAGGTGTAAGAGGGCATCATTTCTAAATATCTGGCCCACTTACGATCAAGGTGTCGAATGACAGGATACCACTCCAATATCTCGAAGTCGTTAACTTGTGAACAAGGTTTCTAATGACAGGATATCATTCCAGATAACTCGAAGTCAATAGCTTGTTACGAAGGTTTGACATAACGGAGTACATCCAATCACAATCCACAAACAGGGAACATCACCACTGAGAGGGTTTGGTTGCAGTAACAGATGTCACTACACACTCTCATCAAAGTTTGTTCGCTGAATGAGTCCACCACTGACTAAGTTCTCAAGTCACATATGTCAAACAGCCAATGTCACAATGTTATTTGTTGTATTGTCAGACGCGGATGTTATTAGGGTTTGAAAAGAATCACCTCCGTTCTGCCTCATGTACGTTGAACAACTCCGACCTGGCCCACACCGTCACAGCTCATGGTCAGGATAGTTCCTGGTGACGCGGAGATCTCAACATTTCCTCTTCGTCCTCAAGTTTTCCCGACGCTATGGCGGCTGGTTGATGGTTGACATCAAACTAATACTGACATGCACCGACACGGTTCATTCAGACAAGATTCACCTTCACAAAGTATTTCCGCTTATGAAATATTTCCGTATGACACTCGCTTATCACAACCCACAGCTATTCAATGTGCAGGATAAACAGGTGCGTTCCGAAATAGGCTCCGCTGTGTGTACTTTACCGTGCGTGCACAAATCGTTCATACAATCAGTGTTCTCACACTAAGTCAGACTGTCATCTCGTCTAAATAAGCCCTGATTACACATCATGCTAAGAGTAGATATTTATACAGCCGGTTTGTATATCGGTCCACACGTGCAGATGACATTCCTTATTGTGTCGTCAAGTGTTATATTCATAAAGATCCATAGGTTATATATCAATGCATATTAGCGAAGCAAAATCTCGAGGCTGGATGTTTACTCACGTGCGTCATTGTATACTGTAAACACAATGCTGTGCTTGTACTTAAGGTTGCAGCATATTTGCACTGGGGTCGATATAGGATGTGAAATGATTTTTCGTGACGCCAATATCTCAAGGTAGAAAAGGTCCGCAGTGCAGGACTGGGAATAGCACAACACCTGTCAGCCTTCTGGTGTGTTTTGCAATTAGTTTGATCTGTGTATTTTTAGGCTCTGGTGAATTGACTGGTAAACACTCAGGAGAGTTCAGGCGAAGAAACACTTCTGGCGTTAGAAAGTCGTGTTACTGCAAAACATAATAATATGGCTAGTTATCAGTTGAGTACTTCCTGGCTCTCTCCTTTCCCTCATCAGCTGACTCTTTTTTCTAACAGTACATCTTGAAAGCACTCAAATATTGTTTTGAATACACTTCAATACACCTCGTAAACACTTCAGATGACTCAATACCTGTTGAATGCGTTGTGATGGATATACTCACCAGTATTCACTGAATGAACACTGGTATGTATTGAATGTATTGTAATATAGTTTAGATACACATTAATACACATAGCATACACTACAGCAGCGTTGACAAAACTTTCAAACCTCAATGTCTGTTGTCTGCAGTGTAATATATGTACTAATCTATACTCGCTGAATAAACTCCAATAAGTATTGACAAGTATTGAGTGAAATCTTGTGAATAATCCTCAGGACGCCTTACACTCCAGCACTTCTTTGAATACATTCACGACCAGCAGAAGCTTCAAAATCTGTTGACCAATGTCCAATATTTGTACTCCTCAAAGCTCTGATAATATAGTCCAAAAAGCATGCTCTGGCATTTGTAGAGTATCTCAACATGTTCAGTAAAGTTCAATTTATGATGCAGATGCGTCAGTACCTGTTGAATGCGTTGTATTCAATGTTTTATACTCCTCGTTACTTGATTGATTTTCTCCGTGCTGTCATGTATTCACTCATCGCCAGAACGCCTTTAATACACGTCATTACGTGTTAAATACACATCAGTTTATGTAGCGAACCTTCAGTATTCATTGGCCAGTTTGTAACATATGCACTCCCCAATAATCGCTGACAGAACTCCATCAAGCACTGTAACATCAGAAGGTGTCGAAAAAACATACATTCCTTGAATCTGTGTCATTCACAAGTATATCCACTGCTAGTGTCACGTGACTGGAACATATCCCTCCAAACATGATGTTCATTTGCAATGTCAAGCGTTAGATAAACCCTCGTTTCTTTTTAATCGCCCGCTGTTTGATAAATGACCACTTTCAAACGTACCCTGGAGTCGGCAAATGACCTCTATCCTGTGAGAGCCGTATGGCATGTAATGAGAAACAAACAACATGTAGGTTCGTACTCTAACATTGTCCCTCAAACATCAGTCGGTCATTGGTCTGCATCTGACTTTAAATGTCCTGCATTTCTAACCTCTGCCATCTTTACTCTTCAGACCAGTTTTTATTTGTCTGAACAAAGGCAAATAATGCAAGCTAGGGCAATATTGTGTGGTGCAATATGTCCATATATGTGCTATTGTGAGGTTATCGACAAGATCGTACACTCAATACACGTTGCCTTTAAAAAGGTAATTTGCTGAGCTTGTTGTATACAACATGTGGTGCCACCAAAACAACTGTTGTCTAATGACTCACCATTGACTGTTGAATGGCACATTTTTCTCCCTGGCTTTCGGCTAGCTTAACGCATGCGTTTGCAGTTCCAATACGGTCTTTCCTCTGAACGTCATCTTGGAGATGAGTGAGTGAGTGAGTAAGTTAAGTCTATCAGTTATCGCTACTCGCTGTAACGCCTTATTATAGTTGTATACTGCGTATTTCGCACTGTCATACAGTGTAAAGCCTTTAAGGCATGGTGTAAACCCTGATTGCTAAAGACATAGTGTGAAGCCGATGTGTCATTTTCTCAACGTGTAAAATCATTTTGTAACAGTCACATAGTGTAAAACCGAGTGGTTGAACTCACACTGCATAAAGTCGATTGTTTGCACTCATTTAGAGTAAAGCTTACTGAATGCCTTCACTCAGTGTAAACTTTATTAATTGACTCAATCAGCGTAATACTCATCTGTTGCCCTATCTGTGTAAAGCCAAATGTGGCTTTCAGCCAGTTTAGGGCTTAAGAGTTGCTTTCACTCAGTGTAAAGAATATCGGTTCACAACCCCACTGTGCGTAAAGCCGTTTTGTTGTCCTGACTCAATGTAAAGCCAATGTGGCGTTGCCACACAATGTAAAGCCAATTTGTAGTTGTCACACAGAGTAAAGCCAATGTGTCGTTGTCAGAAAGGGCAAAGTCAATTTGTCGTTGTTACACAGAGTAAAGCCTGTATGTTGTTGCCACACAGTGTAAAGCCAATATGCCGTTGCCACACAGTGTAAAGCCAATATGTCCTTGCCACACAGTGTAAAGCCAATTTGTCCTTGCCACACAGTGTAAAGCCAATATGCCGTTGCCACACAGTGTAAAGCCAATATGTCCTTGCCACACAGTGTAAAGCCAATATGTCCTTGCCACACAGTGTAAAGCCAATTTGTCGTTGTCACACAGAGGAAAGCCAATGTGTCATTGTCAAACAGCGTAAAGTCAATTGGTTGCTGTCACACAGTGTAAAGTAAGTTGGTTGCTGTCACACAGTATAAAACCTATTGTCGTTGCCACAATGTGTCAAGCCTTTTTTGCTATTATTCTGTGAAGTCTCTTTATTGCTGCAGTGTTAAGCTAGTTTGTCACTGCCACAGAGTGGAAACTCCACCTCATGGTCTGCTTCTCTCCAGTGTTCAGAGGTAGTGTTCAAGTACAACCATAATGTTGTATACATCCACACACAGCGTTACAAGGCGCTGATTCCATCAGGCAACATGTGGCGTTTGTGTATGGCGGTATGGTGTCTATCTCTTCCTGATCATCGATAACCACCGTATGATTAG